TTTTTTCTCTTTTCCTTTCCATTTTCTTTTCCTTCTTTCCTTTCTCCTTTCTTTTTTCTCTTTTCCTTTTCTTTCTTTTCCTTTCCCTTCTTTTCCTTTCCTTTCTCCTTTCTTTTCCTTTCCATTTTCCATTTCTCATTTCTTTTCCTTTCTTTCCCTTTCTTTCCTTTCCATTTTCCTTTCCTTTCCCTTTCCTCCTCTTCCTTTTCCTCCCCCCTGGAGAACAAACAGCCACGAAAACCTCCGTGGAGCTCAGTTGATGGCTGTCGCTCAACAGAAGAAGAACAAAACCAAAACGCAACGAAGTGGGAAAATAGCCCTTCTCAAAGTCACCCAGCTGGCCCTTAAAATGAGACCCAACGCCCTGATGCCCAGGACTGGATCAGGATGTTCTCAGGCAGCCAGGCGCACCTGGGAGTTGGAGCTCGTGAAGCAGAGCGAAGAGCGTGACGGGGGCTGCCAAAAATGGCCCCGATGATTTCAGGCTGTGTTAAGAGAGCCGTAACATTCAAAAGGATGAGAAATAATTGCTCCCTTTTCTTTGTCCTTGGTTAAAAAGCACAAGTTATATAACACACCTTGTCTGGACCACAAAGTCAAGATAGTTTTGTTTTACTTTACTTTAGTTTAGTTTAGTTTAATTTAGTTTAGTTTAGTTTAGTGTCATTGCACCTCGTACAATGAAATTAAATACCATCTTCAGTGCACAGTAGACCCTGGTGGGAGGCTCTCTGCTTATTTATTTTATTCGTTGGTATCCCGCCATTCTTATTGTTTTTACAAATAACTCAAGCGACGAACGTATCCAACACATCTTCCCACTTCTGTTTTCCCCTCAAAAACAACCCTGCGAGGAGGGCTGGGCTGAGAGACTAGCCCAGAATCACCCAGCTGACTTTCCTGCCTAAGGCGGGACTAGAACTCACCGTCTCCTAGTGATTGGCTCAAAGTCATCCAATTGGCTTTCATGCCTAAGGCGGGACTAGAACTCACCATCTCCTGGTGATTGGCTCAAAGTCATCCAATTAGCTTTCATGCCTAAGGCGGGACTAGAACTCACCGTCTCCTGGTGATTGGCCCAAAGTCATCCAATTAGCTTTCATGCCTAAGGCGGGACTAGAACTCACCATCTCCTAGTGATTGGCCCAAAGTCATCCAATTAGCTTTCATGCCTAAAACAGGACTAGAACTCACCGTCTCCTGGTGATTGGCCCAAAGTCATCCGATTAGCTTTTGTGCCTAAGGCAGAACTAGAACTCACCATCTCCTGGTGATTGGCTCAATTGTCACCCAATTGGCTTTCATGCCTAAGACAGGACTAGAACTCACCGTCTCCTGGTGATTGGCCCAAAGTCATCCAATTAGCTTTCATGCCTAAGACAGGACTAGAACTCACCGTCTCCTGGTGATTGGCCCAAAGTCATCC